CTCTGATATCCTTTCTTCTGCTTGATCGATTCAGCTGTTGAAACTCCTGTTTGCCTTGCAAAGTTCTCGTGCTATGTTTTTCAGCTTTATCAAGTCATTTATGTTCTTCTCTAGGCTGGTTATTCTAGTTAGCATTTCACCTAACCTTTTTTCAAGGTTCTTAGTTTCTTTGCATTGGGTTAGAACATGGTCTTTTAACTCAGAGAAGTTTGTTATTACCCACCTTCTGAAGCCTGCTTCTGTCGATTCATCAAACTCGTTCTCTGTCTTGTTTTGTTCCCTTGATAGTGAGGAGCTGTGATCCCTGGGAGCAGAAGAGGTGCTCTGGTCTTTGATAGAGTCATCCTTTTTACGCTGTTTTTCCCCCCATCTTCATGTATTTATCTCCCTTTGATAAAGGATTTATCAGGGCCAGGCGCGGTGGCTCAAGCCTGTAATCCCAGCACTTGGGGAGGCTGAGGCGGGTAGATCACTAGGTCAAGAGATCGAGACCATCCTGGTCAACATAGTGAAACCCCGTCTCTACTAAAAATACAAAAAATTAGCTGGACATGGTGGCGTGTGCCTGTAATCCCAGCTACTCAGGAGGCTGAGGCAGGAGAATTGCCTGAACCCAGGAGGTGGAGGTTGCGGTGAGCTGAGATCACGCCACTGCACTCCAGCCTGGGTAACAAGAGCGAAACTCCGTCTCTAAAAAAACAAAACAAAACAAAACAGCCTTCTTAAAAAGAAAAAAAAATTTTAGACTGGGTCTCACTCTGTCACCCATGCTGAAGTGTAGCGGTGTAATCAAGGCTCACCACAGGCTCTGCCTCGCAGGCTCAAGTGATCCTCCTACCTCAGCCTCCCAAGTAGCTGGGAATACAGGCAGACACTACCACACCTGGCTAATTAAACAAATTTTTTGTAGAGATGAGTTAGATGAGTTTTCACTGTTGTCCAGGCTGGTCTCAAACTTCTAAGCTGAAGCAATCCATCTGCCTCAGCCTTCCAAAGTGCTGGGCCACTGCTCCCAGTATTATTATTTTAGAGACAGGGTCTCACTGTCATTTGGGGTGCCATGCAGTGGTGAGATAATAGTGCACTGCAGCCTTGAACTTCTGGGCTCAAGTGATCCTCAAACTACCGTGTAGCCAGAACTAGTCACACAACACCATATACAGAGATTTATTTTTTTGTTGAGACAGGGTCTTGCTTTGTTGGCCAGGCTCTTCGGAGATTTAATTCTATCACCGTACACTCGGTTAAATAATTAGCTGGTGTGTCTAGCCAAAAAGTACTATCCAAAAACCCTCAGTATCTGAAAATACATTAAGAGTGGGGAACTCAGCCGGGCGCGGTGGCTCAAGCCTGTAATCCCAGCACTTTGGGAGGCTGAGGCGGGTGGATCACGAGGTCAAGAGATCGAGACCATCCTAGTCAACATGGTGAAACCCCGTCTCTACTAAAAATACAAAAAATTAGCTGGGCATGGTGGCGTGTGCCTGTAATCCCAGCTACTCAGGAGGCTGAGGCAGGAGAATTGCCTGAGCCCAGGAGGCGGAGGTTGCGGTGAGCCGAGATCGCGCCATTGCACTCCAGCCTGGGTAACAAGAGTGAAACTCCGTCTCAAAAAAAAAAAAAAAAAAAAAGAGTGGGGAACTTTTGTTTTCAGACAGACTCGCTGTGTCATTGAGGCTGAAGTGCAACCTCCGCCTTCTGGGTTCACTGCAACCTCTGCCTCTGGGTTCAAGCAATTCTGCCTCAGCTTCCAGAGTACCTGGGACTACAGGCACACACCATCATGCCCAGCTAATTTTTGTATTTTTAGTGGAGAATCGGTTTTTGCCATGTTGGCCAGGCTGGTCTTGAACTCCTGGCCTCAAGTGATCTGCCCACCTTGGCCTCCCAAGGTGCTGGGATTACAGCACCTGAGCCACTGCACCTGGCCAAGAGTGGGGAACATTTAAAATAGTTATCTTGAGAAAGCTGTTTTAGATGTTAAAGTTCCTTAATTTAGCCAGTGTGGCAATCAGCTGAGGGTGCTGAAGAGTGACCTATAATGAAAATGGATTTTGAACAGAATCTCACATATTAAGTTAATACAAATGTGTTTACTCTATTTATATTTATTATCGGGAACATTTTTTCCTAAACATAAGGCAGGGTATCAGGCTAAGGAGATGAAAGGAAAGAATAAAAGATTATTTAAAAGTTTAAAAAGACAATAAAGTTTTAAAAAATGTTCTAGCCGGGCACGGTGGCTCAAGCCTGTAAACCCAGCACTTTGGGAGGCCGAGGCGGGTGGATCACGAGGTCGAGAGATCGAGACCATCCTGGTCAGCAAGGTGAAACCCCGTCTCTACTAAAAATACAAAAAATTAGCTGGGCATGGTTGTGCGTGCCTGTAATCCCAGCTACTCAGGAGGCTGAGGCAGGAGAATTGCCTGAACCCAGGAGGCGGAGGTTGCGGTGAGCCGAGATAGCGCCATTGCACTCCAGCCTGGGTAACAAGAGCGAAACTCCGTCTCAAAAAAAAAAAAAAAAAAAAGTGTTCTAAAAAGAAAAAGTAAAAAGGCATGGTCATCAAAGCAGCTTCTTTTCCCACAAAGTAGGCACGCCACCTATTTTTATCTTTTCTTAGCTTACAATCCTACCGCCCTTTTTTTCTTCCATCTTTCTTTACAGACTAGACGTCTGTGGGCTGTTTATTTTCGCATGTAGTACTTTTAAAGTATTCGTTAGTGGCCAATATTTAGAAGGAAAGCTATAGCATTAAAACATAGATTTCCAGATTTCCCTGAAAAAATTTTGTTTTTAAAAAAGATTTGCTTTCCTAAAATGGCAACAATCAGTGGAGGTCAGTAATGGCTGCCCCCTGGACAGGTGGGCTAGGTGCTATCCAGTTCACCAGGGTTCCAAACAAGCCAGCTTTACTCATTAATGTACCATTTGTGTTTGTCATTCCTGCTCAATAGCTTATGTCTCCTAGCCATTGGGGTCAGACGGTGCCAATCCCTTTAGGAACTTCAGACTAAGCTGTTATGACTATGCTACCCAGCAGCCAGCCTGATGAAGAAACAGTCTCTTCTGTGAGGCACAGGGCTTTCGGAGCTGAACAATTTCCCAGTCTGATGGATGAGACTGACAACTACAATATGGAGTAGTGGCCTTGTACCTACCTGAATAGTTATTTATGATGAGTAAATAAAGGGAGCAAAAAGGGACCAGATGAGAATGAATCATTTTCACCTTGCCTTATTGACCTCAAGGACCTAGAGAAGAGTCTAACCTAGACTTCCAGAGTAAGCTGAAGCCCAAAGGGTAAACAGTAATTTTTTTTTTTTTTTTCTTGAGACGGGGTTTCGCTCTTGTTACCCAGGCTGGAGTGCAATGGCGCGATCTCGGCTCACCGCAACCTCCGCTCCCTGGGTTCAAGCAATTCTCCTGCCTCAGCCTCCTGAGTAGCTGGGACTACAGGCACGCGCCACCACGCCCAGCTAATTTTTGTATTTTTAGTAGAGACGGGGTTTCACCATGTTGACCAGGATGGTCTCGATCTCTTGACCTCGTGATCCACCCGCCTCGGCCTCCCAAAGTGCTGGGATTACAGGCTTGAGCCACCGCGCCCGGCCTTTTTTTTTTTTTTTTTTTGAGACGGAGTTTCACTCTTATTACCTAGGCTGGAGTGCAATGGCGAGATCTCGGCTCACCGCAACCTCCGCCTCCTGGGTTCAGGCAATTCTCCTGTGCCTCAGCCTCCTGAGTAGCTGGGATTACAGGCACGTGCCACCATGCCCAGCTGATTTTTTGTATTTTTAGTAGAGATGGGGTTTCACTATGTCGACCAGGATGGTCTCGATCTCTTGACCGTGTGATCCACCCGCCTCGGCCTCCCAAAGTGCTGGGATTACAGGCTTGAGCCACCACGCCCGGCCCAAACAGTAACATTAACACAAATGGTTAAGTTTCAGCCAGAGGGAGTTAAACAAGTAAGGGGTGTGGTGGGGAAGCAACACAGTGCAGATACCTGGAGCAGAGAGTGACAAGAAAGAGTGAAAGATGAAGACTAAGATATAAGCGAGGATCAATTTATGTCGTCTGCACTTTATCTTAGGGACAATGGGGAGGCCCTGTGATATTATAAGGACAAGTTCACTGGGATTCTGAAGTGATTTGTTCAAGTTACACAATTAGGAACCAAAAAATGAACTACTAATTTTTAAAATTAAATTCCTAATCAGTCAGTGTACTATTACTTCCCCGCTGTCCCATGTTTACCGCTGACCCGCCAATCAGAGCGCACGCCACGTGTTTCTAAACCTGCCACCCGCTCTGCGGAAATGGCCTCAACGCTTCAACCGGAAGCAGAAACTGACCGCAGCAGGCGCCACCTAACGGCCGGCTGGAGCAAAGCTCCGCCCGGAAAGTCGCAACACCGGAAAAGGTCCGGCTGTTTCCGGTGGAAACACAACGGAGCTAACGTTCAGAAGGCGAGTTTCCAAGATCTGTCCAGTTGGCCCAGCGCGCTCTGCTCCGCGACAACGCAAGCCCGTTTTTGCGCAGGCGCGGGGAATGCGCAGGCAAGGGCGTACGCAGATGCGTGCGTGCGCCCGTTCAACGTCCGGAGCATCGGTGCGATTTCGAGGGTAAATCTTTTGGCGCTGTAATATGGACTTTTGTTCTCTAACTACAACTCCCAGCATACCTCACCCCTCACGTGGGCCCTAGGTGTGGTTTCGTGGGATAGGGTAAGACGAAAGTGAAATGATGGTGACGTACCGAAGAAGAAAATAATTGAATATGTTGTGTGAGCGCGTCGCTTACAGAAGCCCCAGTGGCCTAATGGATAAGGCATTGGCCTCCTAAGCCAGGGATTGTGGGTTCGAGTCCCATCTGGGGTGGGCTGAGTTTTTTTTTTTTTTTTTGGCCCTCAAAACGCTTGTTTCCTTTTCTAAACAAAGCGAAGTATGCCAACTTCATTATCTATTTTTTTAACGGGAAGGGTGTATGTGTGTTTGTGTTTTTACTAGCTGGTGGGCTGCAACTTTCCAGAATCAGCATACTCCCATGTCCTTTCCGTGAGCCGCAGGTCCCCTGGGATTTGGGGAGAAGTCCGTCAATACGTTGAATTTTGATATCCCTTTTAGAAATCATTTAAAAATATCTTCTCAGCGTGTTCCGTATCAAATCCACACCCACTCCCCCAAGCCGGGCCCACTTCTCCTGAGACTCGGCGGTTGGTGTGCTAAGGGGCATCTTCAATGACGCAGTGAAGAAAGGCCCCCATTTCCCCAATCCCTTTTTCGGGGTTGGAGGACCTGGTACCGTCAGTGAACACTCGGCTTTCGTTTGCTTTTCTTGTTAGGGCGCAATTCGGCCTTCTATTAATGTACAATGGCCAGATGAGCCGTTCCACTGCTCGCAAGTCGATAGGGGGAGCCGGTAGTCGGCCCGACCGTACCATCAGGCGCCCAGGTGGGAGGTCGCAGGACGCCGTCGGTCACCAGGCTCGGAGGACAGGGAAATGGCGGCCTTAGGGTCTCCGGCGCGCACTTTGCGGGGACTTCTGCGGGAGTTGCGCTACCTGAGCGCGGCCACCGGCCGACCCTATCGCGACACCGCGGCCTATCGGTACCTCGTGAAGGCTTTCCGTGCACATCGGGTACGGGAGCCGTGTCCCGGGTGCTCCACCTGCTGGGGAGGGAGGGAGAGTCGGGCCTGGGCCGGGGTGGGGAGCACGATGTCTCATTCCCGCATGGCTGAGGCCAGCCCTTCCACGGAGCCCTCATTCCGACCAAACCAACCCAGGGCCGAGGCTCCATGCTCTGGCGTAAACGCAGGGACTAAAGGACCGCTGAGGGCTCAGAGTCGCTCTGGAGACGTCAGTGTCCACCAGAGGGGCGGACCCGTCCCCAGGGATTTCATTGGCTGGTGTGTTGTCTGTGTGGAGGGGAAAGTCAGGAAAGTGGAATAGAGAAAATGCAGGGGGTAAAAGAATGTAGATAGACTTGAAGGGTGTACTGTCACTAGACTTAAAGCCGCAGCATCTGGCCAACAATCTCCTCAGCCTTCCCCTAGAAAAATTATTCTGAGAGTTTTTTTTTTTTTTTTTTTGAGGCGGAAAAGAAAAACTGGGCTTTAGGGAAGGAAACTTGCTGCTCTTGAGCAATGTGGGAAAAGGGAGAATCATCTTCACAGTCGAATTTCTGAGCCATGGACGTCAGAATGCAAAACTAGCCGGGCGCGGTGGCTCAAGCCTGTAATCCCAGCACTTTGGGAGGCCGAGGCGGGTGGATCACGAGGTCGAGAGATCGAGACCATCCTGGTCAACATGGTGAAACCCCGTCACTACTAAAAGTGCAAAAAATTAGCTGGGCATGGTGGCGCGTGCCTGTAATCCCAGCTACTCAGGAGGCTGAGGCAGGAGAATTGCCTGAACCCAGGAGGCGGAGGTTGCGGTGAGCCGAGATCGCGCCATTGCACTCCAGCCTGGGTAACAAGGGCGAAACTCCGTCTCGGAAAAAAAAAAAAAAAAAAAAAAGCAAAACTAAAATTCACCTAGTTTTTAAAAGGTGACAACTTTCGGGACTGTGCTGGAAACCTGGTCTAAATAGGAAAAATCAGATGCTTATGGGCCCTGTTCTTTAAGACGCTTGATACCCACCTTAGGAGCGATACAGTAAAGCATTTAGAATAAATAAGTGCTCAGGGCCGGGCGCGGTGGCTCAAGCCTGTAATCCCAGCACTTTGGGAGGCCGAGGTGGGTGGATCACGAGGTCAAGAGATCGAGACCATCCTGGTCAACATGGTGAAACCCCGTCTCTACTAAAAATACAAAAAAATTAGCTGGGCATGGTGGCGCGTGCCTGTAATCCCAGCTACTCAGGAGGCTGAGGCAGGAGAATTGCCTGAACCCAGGAGGCGGAGGTTGCGGTGAGCCGAGATCGCGCCATTGCACTCCAGCCTGGGTAACAAGGGCGAAACTCCGTCTCGGAAAAAAAAAAAAAAAAAAAAAAAAGCAAAACTAAAATTCACCTAGTTTTTAAAAGGTGACAACTTTCGGGACTGTGCTGGAAACCTGGTCTAAATAGGAAAAATCAGATGCTTATGGGCCCTGTTCTTTAAGACGCTTGATACCCACCTTAGGAGCGATACAGTAAAGCATTTAGAATAAATAAGTGCTCAGGGCCGGGCGCGGTGGCTCAAGCCTGTAATCCCAGCACTTTGGGAGGCCGAGGTGGGTGGATCACGAGGTCAAGAGATCGAGACCATCCTGGTCAACATGGTGAAACCCCGTCTCTACTAAAAATACAAAAAAATTAGCTGGGCATGGTGGCGCGTGCCTGTAATCCCAGCTACTCAGGAGGCTGAGGCAGGAGAATTGCCTGAACCCAGGAGGCGGAGGTTGCGGTGAGCCGAGATCGCGCCATTGCACTCCAGCCTGTGTAACAAGGGCGAAACTCCGTCTCGGAAAAAAAAAAAAAAAAAAAGGCAAAACTAAAATTCACCTAGTTTTTAAAAGGTGACAACTTTCGGGACTGTGCTGGAAACCTGGTCTAAATAGGAAAAATCAGATGCTTATGGGCCCTGTTCTTTAAGACGCTTGATACCCACCTTAGGAGCGATACAGTAAAGCATTTAGAATAAATAAGTGCTCAGGGCCGGGCGCGGTGGCTCAAGCCTGTAATCCCAGCACTTTGGGAGGCCGAGGTGGGTGGATCACGAGGTCAAGAGATCGAGACCATCCTGGTCAACATGGTGAAACCCCGTCTCTACTAAAAATACAAAAAAATTAGCTGGGCATGGTGGCGCGTGCCTGTAATCCCAGCTACTCAGGAGGCTGAGGCAGGAGAATTGCCTGAACCCAGGAGGCGGAGGTTGCGGTGAGCCGAGATCGTGCCATTGCACTCCAGCCTGGGTAACAAGGGCGAAACTCCGTCTCGGAAAAAAAAAAAAAAAAAAAAAAGCAAAACTAAAATTCACCTAGTTTTTAAAAGGTGACAACTTTCGGGACTGTGCTGGAAACCTGGTCTAAATAGGAAAAATCAGATGCTTATGGGCCCTGTTCTTTAAGACGCTTGATACCCACCTTAGGAGCGATACAGTAAAGCATTTAGAATAAATAAGTGCTCAGGGCCGGGCGCGGTGGCTCAAGCCTGTAATCCCAGCACTTTGGGAGGCCGAGGTGGGTGGATCACGAGGTCAAGAGATCGAGACCATCCTGGTCAACATGGTGAAACCCCGTCTCTACTAAAAATACAAAAAAATTAGCTGGGCATGGTGGCGCGTGCCTGTAATCCCAGCTACTCAGGAGGCTGAGGCAGGAGAATTGCCTGAACCCAGGAGGCGGAGGTTGCGGTGAGCCGAGATCGCGCCATTGCACTCCAGCCTGGGTAACAAGAGCGAAACTCCGTCTCAAAAAAAAAAAAAAAAAAAAAAAAAAAAGAATAAATAAGTGCTCAACGTGTAGACAACAGGTGCTGGAATATAAAGAAGAGGTTAGGGAAGGTTTTCCGGAGGAAATTAATCAGGGACCTGAAGGCTAATTTGGAGTTAGCAAGTAAATTGGGGTTAGGGTCCAGGTTTAAAAACTGCACAATTGAAAGTCCAGAGGGGAGAAAAATTGCCAATTGAGAATGGTTTAGCCCTTAGGGTGTGGTGGGTGAAGTGGAGGTAGATGAGGTGGTAGGCAGAACAGGAATTTAAACTTTAGTGTAAGTGTAATGGGAAGGCATTCTAAGACTTTTAAGGGCCGGGCGCGGTGGCTCAAGCCTGTAATCCCAGCACTTTGGGAGGCCGACGCGGGTGGATCATGAGGTCAAGAAATCAAGACCGTCCTGGTCAACATGGTGAAACCCCGTCTCTACTAAAAATACAAAAAATTACCTGGGCATGGTGGCGCGTGCCTGTAATCTCAGCTACTCAGCAGGCTGAGGCAGGAGAATAACCTGAACCCAGGAGGAGGACGTTGCGGTGAGCCGAGATCGCACCATTGCACTCCAGCCTGGGTAACAAGAGGGAAACTCAGTCTCAAAAACAAAACAAAAGAAAACAAAAAAACCTTCATTTGTTAATAGTACAAAGTTATTTTTCAGACAAAATAAGGTTTCAATTTTCATTGTAATGAAAGGTATATGTCACATTAACCAGTCATAGAAACATAAATAAAGCAGTCCTTTATTTGCTTGAAAGGGAGAAAGTTCTACATTATATTCCTTTTTTTGTGGGGCGGGGTGGGAGGGTTGGAGTCTTGCTCTGTCACCAGGCTGGAGTGTAGTGGCACAATCTCAGCTCACTGCAACCTCCACCTCCTGGGTTCAAGGGATTCTCCTGTCTCAGCCTCCTGAATAGCTGGGATTATAGGCACATGCCACCATGACCAGCTAATTGTTGTATTTTTATTAGAGATGGGGTTTCACCGTGTTGGTCAGGCTGGTCTCGAATTCCTGACCTTGTGAGCCATCCACCTTGGCCTCCCAAAGTGCTGGGATTACAGGCTTGAGCCACCGCACCCAGCCTCATTATATTCTTTAGGTGCCATTAATCATCAGTGACCTGATTATAATTTCCATATCTACCATTAACTAATCTCTGAGCATCTCTAGGCTTTAGTTTCCTCACCTGTAAAATGAAGGAATTGAAACTAGATGACTTCTTGTAGTACTCACTGAATGCAGGAACATTCAATGTAACTCCTTTTTAAAATCAGAACCAGAGGTCAGCTTTACTAATCATCATAGAGTGCCTCTGTAGATGTATTAAGTATATGTGTATATAGATACATGTTTGTATTTCCTCTGTGCAATTTACTTTCATTCTAGAGAAGGCTTGTTGATTAAATTTTTCTCTGTGGACCTCTATCTGTAGCTGGGTTAAGAGCTTCTGACTTGCTGCTTTTCTAGGTCACCAGTGAAAAGTTGTGCAGAGCCCAACATGAGCTTCATTTTCAAGCTGCCACCTATCTCTGCCTCCTGCGTAGCATCCGGGAACATGTGGCCCTGCATCAGGAATTTCATGGCAAGGGTGAGCGCTCAGTGGAGGAGTCTGCTGGCTTGGTGGGCCTCCAATTGCCGCATCAGCCTGGAGGGAAGGGCTGGGAACCATGAACATGGAGAGTATCCTTGGATGCTGCATTCATAAGAAAATTTAATAATTTCTGTCAATATGTATTTATCATTAAACTTTTTTTAAGTTTAAGGTTTTCCTCTAATTTTGTTTACTGGTTCTTAGGAGAATTAACTGGCGGTTTCATCTTTACTGTCAGTGAACTTACTGAACTTCTTATACTAGACTAACTGATGTTGTCTACTTTAAACAAATTTTTTTAAATTTTAAAAGTAGTATAAGGGCCGGGCGCGGTGGCTCAAGCCTGTAATCCCAGCACTTTGGGAGGCCGAGGCGGGCGGATCACGAGGTCAAGAGATCAAGACCATCCTGGTCAACACGGTGAAACCCCGTCTCTACTAAAAAATACAAAACATTAGCTGGGCATGGTGGCGCGTGCCTGTAATCCCAGCTACTCAGGAGGCTGAGGCAGGAGAATTGCCTGAACTCAGGAGGCGGAAGTTGCGGTGAGCCGAGATCGCGCCATTGCACTCCAGCCTGGGTAACAAGAACGAAACTCCGTCTCAGAGAAAAAAAAAAAAAAGTAGTATAAGCCTTTTGTTTGAGGAATTCAAATGTTATAAACATACAATAAAAGAAGCCCTCATTTCCTGTCTTGCTTCTTATCCCCATTACCAGGTGGTCATTATTACTAACAGTTTGATGTGCATCTTTCCAGATATTTCCTATCCATATACAAACAATTATACATATATATCTCATTAAAAATACATAAATATGATGTGCTACAGTCCTGTCAGGAAATAGATGGCACACTCAAATAGGGTCATTGAGGAGAGTTAAAGGGATACATAAAGATGTGCGTGAATTAAAGTCAAAATGATGAGGCTCTAAGGGGTTCTCAACCATAGAGAAGTATCTTTTATTTTTAACTGGGCAGGCCCCAAAGCAGAACAGGTTAAGAGAGACTTGCCAGTGGAGAGTTCTTACCTCCCTAGGCCTGACAAGTGTGGGCCCTTAGCATGAGCAACATGGCCAGAGCTCAGCTATACCCCACAGAGGGGGATGGATGAGCACATTGACATCTTTTTTCTGTCTCCTCATCTTACAAATTGTTCCTCCTCTTGAGCTCCCTACCTGGGCAGATAGCTCCACCATGCACTTGGCTAACCAAGTCAGAAACTTGAGCTTCATTTGGTCTTCCTCCCTCTCCTTGCTTTTCACGATTTCCAGCAATTTTAATTTCTGCAATAGCTCTAATAGCCTTCTTCCCATCTCTGTCTCCACTGCCTCTGTCCTGGTTCAAGCACCAAGAATCTTTTGGCTGAACAAAGAAAATAGTCTTCTAAAGGGTCCTTTTGTGTCTTACATCCTTATTTCTTCAAAAATCATTCTCTTTGTGAATTGCTAACACTTATTTACCTGTGGTTCCTTTATGGCATATGTCAGTTTCTTCTGGTAGATAGATAACCTCTTTTTTCCTGGACTATGTCTCATTCATCTTTGCAGTTTCTAAAGCACCTTCCACAGTGACTTACTCATTGCATGTATTAAATGTTTTTGAATGCATATCTCAGCTCTTCTCACAGAAGCATAATCTCAACAGAACTATTCATAAAGCATTTCAAAACATCTCTTCTAAGAGGTTAACATAATAGTATTAATAGGTCAAACATTTATTCAACTAAATGGATTTTAAAAAATAGAAATGTTTAACATACATTTTTGGTTTTTTGTTTTGAATTAGGGCCTCAGCCGTGCATGGTGACTCATGCCTGTAATCACAGCACTTTCAGAGGCCAAGGCGGGTAGATCACGAGGTCAAGAGATCAAGACCATCCTGGCCAACATAGTGAAACCCCATCTCTACTAAAATACAAAAATTAATTGGGCGTGGTGGCATGCGCCTGTAGTCTCAGGTACTCTGGAGGCTGAGGCAGGAGAATTGCTTGAACCAGGGAGGCAGAGGTTGCAGCGAGCTGAGATTGTGCCACTGCACTCCAGCCTGGCGCCTGGCAACAGAGCAAGACTCTCTCAAGAAAAAAAGAGATAGGGTCTCACTGTTGCCCAGGCTGGAGTTCAGTGGCATGATCTCAGCTCACTGCAACCTCTGCCTCTCAGGTTCATGTGATGCCCCTGCCTTAGCCTCCTGAGTGGCTGGGACTGCAGGCATATGCCACCACACCTAGCTAATTTTCAGCTTCTTCTCTATTCTCTCTCTGTGTTTGACAGTCTAGCTAGAACTGAATATAGAAATTCAGTTATTAGGTCGGATGCGGTGGCTCATGCCTGTAATCCTAGCACTTTGGGAGGCTGAGGTGGGTGGATCACCTGAGGTCAGGAGTTCAAGACCAGCCTGGCCATCATGGTGAAACCCCATCTTTAAAAACAACAACAAAAAATTTTCAGTTATTAGGCACGGTGGCTCTTTATTTCACATTTTGCTGTTCCTTATATGGGGAAAGCTCTTCTCCCAATCAATAGCTATATCCTATTCATTCTTCAGGATTTCAGATTAAATTTCACTTTCTATCTTTTCTTCCTTCAACAAGGATTTATGAATGCCTACTATATAGGTGATAACTGCCTTAGCTCCCTTACCTTTGAATTTTTTTTTTTTAGGCAGAGTTTCGCTCTTGTTACCCAGGCTGGAGTGCAATGGTGCGATCTCGGCTCACTGCAACTTCCGCCTCCTGGATTCAGGCAATTCTCCTGCCTCAGCCTCCTGAGTAGCTGGGATTACAGGCACGTGCCACCACGCCCAGCTAATTTTTGTATTTTTAGTAGAGACGGGGTTTCACTGTGTTGACCATGATGGTCTCAATCTCTTGACCTTGTGATCCACCCGCCTCGGCCTCCCAAAGTGCTGGGATTACCGGCGTGAGCCACCGCGCCCGGCTGCTCCCTTTTCACTGTTAACAAAAGTAAACGTGTGGGGAGGTGGCTCCTGTTTGTAATCCTAGCACAGTGAGAGGACTGGATGGGAGGATTGCTTGAAGCCAAAAGTTTGAGACCAGCCTGAGCAACATAATGAGACCCTGTCTCTAGAAAAAAATGCAAATATTAGCCAGGTGTGGTGTCATGCTCCCACAGTCCCAGCTACTCAGAGGAGGCTGAGGTAGGAATACCACTTGAGCCCAAGAATTAGAGGCTGCAGTGAGCTATGATCATAGCTACTGCTCTCCAGCCTGGGCAACAGAGCAAGACCATATCTAAAATAGAAAAAAAGCCAGGCATAGTGGCTCACACCTTTAATCCCAGCACTTTGGGTGGCTGAGACAGGAGGATGGCTTGGGGCCAGGAGTTTGTGACCAGCCTGGGCAACATAGAGACACCTTCTCGCCCAGCGCGGTGGCTCATGCCTGTAATCCCAGCACTTTGGGAGGCTGAGGTGGGCGGATCACCTGAGGTCGGGGGTTCTAGACCAGCCTGACCAACATGGTGAAAACCCATCTTTTTTTTTTTTTAAAAAAAGACACCTTCTCTACAAAAATAAAAATAAAAAATTAGCTGGTCATGGTGGTGCACGCCTGTAATCCTAGCTGCTCAGGATGCTGAGCTGGAAGGACCGCTTGAGCCTGGGAAGTGGAGACTGCAGTGTTGAGCCATGATTGTGCCACTGCACTCACCTTGGTGACAGAGCAAGACCTCATCTCAAAGATAGAAATTTTTTTTTTTTTTGAGACGGAGTTTCGCTCTTGTTACCCAGGCTGGAGTGCAATGGCGCGCTCTCGGCTCACTGCAACCTCCGCCTCCTGGGTTCAAGCAATTCTCCTGCCTCAGCCTCCTGAGTAGCTGGGATTACAGGCACATGCCACCATGCCCAGCTAATTTTTTTTGTATTTTTAGTAGAGACGGGGTTTCACCATGTTGACCAGGATGGTCTTGATCTCTTGACCTCGCGATCCACCCGCCTCGGCCTCCCAAAGTGCTGGGATTACAAGCTTGAGCCACCGCGCCCGGCAGAAATTGTTTTTTTTAAAAAAAGTTTCTTTCAAGCAATATAGTTTGTATCCTTACTGATTTTAATTCCCCTGTCTTGAATAAACCAATTAACTAGTTCTTTCGGATTAGGTTTGGCTGTTGTCATTTTTCCTCTCCACAAGCTTCAGATATAAATACATTTCCACTTATTTTCACTAGAGCTGAGGATGTATCTGGCTATAAAGTATTGAGCTCCTTGTTTGGTTAAGTGTTAGAGATACAAATATGAACATGTGATAAGAACAAGATGTTCACATACTAGGATTATGTGGTGGGGAAAGAAATCTGTGTTGTTCTGAACTAAAGGTAGGCTAATCCAAGGCAGTCTGTAAGTAAGTTTTAAGTTTTAATTTAATCAGAGTAAAAGTAATTTTCAATTGAAGTTTTAGGCTGAGTGCGGTGACTCACGCCTGTAACCCCAGAACTTTGGGAGGCCAAGGTGGGCAGATCATGAGATCAAGACCAGCCTGGCTAACACAGTGAAACCCCATCTCTACTAAAAATACAAAAAATTAGCTGGGCATGGTGGCATGCAACCATAGTCCCAGCTACTCAGGAGACTGAGGCAGGAGAATCGCTTGAACCCGGGAGGTGGAGGTTGCAGTGAGCCGAGATCACACCACTGCACTCCAGCCTGGGCGACAGAGCAAGACTCTGTCTCCAAAAAAAAAAAAAAGAAAAAAAAACTTAAAGTTTTAAATCTACATAGGCATCGGCTGGGCACACTGGGTCACATCTATAATCCCAGCCCTTTGGGAGGCTGAGGCAGGTGGATCACCTGAGGACGGAGTTCGAGACCAGCCTGGCGAACGTGGTGAAACCCCATCTCTACTGAAACTACAAAAATTAGCCGGACATGGTGGCAGACGCCTGTAATCCCACTTACCCAGGAGGTTGAGGCAGGAGAATCCCTTGAACCTGGGAGGCAGAGGTTGCAGTGAGCTGAGATTACACCACTGCACACCAGCCTGGGTGACAGCGCAACACTGTGTCTCAAAAATAAATGGGCACCATGTTTATAAAATTTGATTGTATGTACTGATGCCCCAAGAATAACTGCAATTAATTTTTATGATATATCCTTTACCATATTTAGTTCATAAATTACAATAAATTGATAGGTTGTCTGTTCTGCACAGCTAGCAAAA